TATAATCAACCGAGGCGAATGAGGTGCGCCACCCTGTAGAAGTTAAAATGTTTTCTTGAAATACTTCCTAGTACATACTTTAGGTTGGGTTGGCAATTAAACAAAATTTTCAAGTTTTGTATTCTAGGAGCTACAGATGCCTACTCGATGATTCTAGATCGACTAAATCTGTCTAACCTTCTACTGGCGATTTCTAAGTTTACTGTATCTTTTATTCACATACATATATGAGAAGGCCTATATTTCTGAGATATCCAGATTAGACATAATCATTCTCAACTGTCAGCAACTGTAAGTTGTAAAAAGTAAGCTGTAAATAGATTAACTTAATAAGTTTTCTCGATATTTTTCAACATGTTTGAATTAATCCTCATTGTCGCTGTATTATCACAAGGAATTAGAAAATATGAATTTATACTTTTGTTTCTTACACTTTCTATATTTATTTTTGTATGCTGCTACATGGAAAATTTTGTATCCCTGAAGTAATATCTTAAAAATACTATAAAATATGAAACAGAAAACCAATACATAATTTCAAAAACTTTAAAAAATTGTCCTATATTTCTCTGTAGTATACTATCCTTTATGAAGTTTTATAAACATTAATATTGAGCTCTATTAAAACAGACACATATGATATTAAAGTATTTACATCTATTCAAATTGAAATGCGGACAAAAGCAACAAACTACCTATAATGATATTATAATGTAATATATGAGACTGGACCCTAATGGAACCGAGTTAATGTGGCATTTTCGGAAATCATTCATTCTAAGCCAATTAAGGCATCACTGCATCATATTTGGATGTTTTGTGATTATAAAATTATTATAACGGCAGACCATTGTTAATTCTAACGCGCGTTATACTTAATTAAGCAATGCAAGCTGAATATTCTCAAACAAAATTATACATTTAAAATTTTGCTATTAAACATTATTAACCCTGTCACATATGAAAGTAAATTAATAATTATTTACAATTTGGGATTTTTATAACTATCGAATATGTCTCTTCTTCGATTAAAATTGATCTAATGGAGGTTAACTAATTTAATATTTTCTTTTTTTTTAGCTAAATTTAAAATATTTTGGATCTATAAGAACTAAAAAGCTGAGGATGTTAATATCTTAAAATTCACTCGTATGAAAATTGTTACCTTTTTATCATTCTTATACCACCTCTTTAGAATTGAATTTTGTTATCATATTTTTCTCTATAAAAAGACGAGAAGGTTCTCTATTTTAATCATAAATTTACGTATTCGAAGATTAATAACTTTTATATATTAATTTTCTATTGCATTACTCATTCTATGAATAAATTTCTGGTGCCCCCTAATTTTGTAAATTAAAATTGCATGTTCCTACGTTTATATTAATTTCCTTCCCTCAATTTAAACCCAACAGTTATATTTTTTAAATATATTTCTTGTCGTTATATCGATATGTCACTAAATAATATTTGTACAAAATTCAGATCACATCAGAAATTTTGAAACACTATTTTGCTGTCTTAGAGAATGAATTTCCCAAAATCGCTTTTATGTCCTCACCAGTGGCGGATACAGAGGGGGGAGCAAGGGCCCGGCCCCCCACCTAAAATCTGAAATTGGATTAAATATTAACCTTTTGGGTTAAAAATGGCACACTAAAAAGCATATTCTACATTAGTTTTTATTTGCCCCCCCCCCTAAAATAAATTCCTGTATCCCCATTGCTCCTCACTAATATTTTAAAATGAAACCTTGACGAACAAATTACGAATAGGGACGAACAACAAGGTTTTAGTCGAAATAACTACAGACGCCGTATTTATCATTAAACAAATTAAAGAAAAAACAATAGAGTTTAATACACCAGCCTATATCTGTTTCATCGACTTGATTAAAGCAATCGATAAAGTACGCCTATCTGACAATACAAACATATTGAAATGCGTGATAATATAATATATAATAAAAAATATAATCTATACTAATATATAAAATCCTTAAGCGCCTGACACACTGATTAATCACGATCCTTCTCAAATCACTCAACGTAAGAAGCCCAATTTTGGCATACAGGTTGATTCTAGGGTATAGAGGTTCGATAAGAAGGGATTTTTCGAAATTCCAGTTTCAAGAGGGTGAAACCACCCCTCAAATATTACAATATTTTTTGTTTAAAAAACGGTCAAGTTTCCGGAAAAACGCTTAAACACGTATATTTTATTTTGTTTTTTTTACATATTTTAAGATTTTTTAAAAATGTATACAGGGTGTTTCGAAAAATCTGGTCATTGATTAATCACGATCCTGCTTAAAGCGCTTGACGTAAAAAGCTGATTTTTGGAAAATAGATTGACTTTAGGGTGTAGAGGTTCGATAAGAAGGTATTTTTCGAAACTCGAATTCTAAGGGGAAACTATCCCTCAAATATTAAAATATTTTTTATTTAAAAACCGATGAGTTTTTCGGAAAAACTCTTAAACAAGTATATTTTATTTTGTTGTTTTACATATTTTAAGATTTTTTATAAATTTATACAGGGTGTTTCATAAAATATGACCATTGAGTAATCACGATTCTGCTTAAACTGCTTGACGTAAAAAGCTTATTTTTGGCAAACGGATTTTTCGAAGTTTTGTTATTTAAAAAACGGTTAGTCTTTCGGGAAAACGCTTGGACAAGCATAATTTATTTGGTTTTTTTACATATTTTGAAATTTTGTAAAAAATCATACAGGGTGTTCCATAAAGTTAGGTAATTTCTTAACCACGATTCTGCTTAAACTGCTTGACGTAAAAAGCTTATTTTTGGCAAACGGATTTTTCAGAGGCAATGAAAAAGCAAATGATCTAGCTAGAAAAGGAGCGAACACTCCACTAACTGGACCAGAACCGTTCTGTTTTCCAAACGGGAACCAACTGAAAGCGGAACTGAAGAATCTGGAAAACTCCATCCGTAACTTGGAATGGGTGTCCTCCAACGGTCTAAGACACTCGAAAAAGTTCTTTAGAATTTATGACCGAAAAAAATGAAAGGATTTTCTTGATTTAAGTAAAAACAATCTTCGGATTGTCACGGGGTTTCTAACAGGACACTGTCTCCTCAACGAACACCTCAGTAGGCTGAAACTGAGAAACAACGGCGAATGCAGATATTGTGGGGAAAATGGGGAAACACCAGAACACCTTATCACTGAGTGCGCCGAGACGACGACCATTCGTGCCATGAACCTTGGTACGTCTGATGTCGAGGATGGAGAGTTCAACTCTGTGGAGCCGTCTCAGATACTGGCTTTTCTTCAAGCCCCGAGACTGTATGATGAGTTATAACTCGTTATAACTCAAGAAAGGGGAACACACAATAGATCTATAAGGTCGCGGTGATTAACTCCCCTCCTAAACATTCTACATTCTACATGTTAATGGAAATTCGTGCTTTGCTTTATCATCACCATTACGAATGATTAATTCGACGCGAACGAAGTCGCTGGTACACGCTAGTAATGTATAATATTATATACTTATATTACGATGTTAATTAAGGACGTAAGATAATGCTGATAATATTGTGAAAATCATCAGAAAGCTAAATATTGAGAAACAACTCAAATAAAAGCAGTGAATAATCTAACACGAGACGAGGAGTGTTTTAAAAATATACATGTACTGCCAAAATATAATTTTAATGCCAAGCGACTAGCAATGACTGCGAAGCAGACTGTCTATGACTGCTATGTATAAGCGACTGCCGTAAGACTGCCAATAACTGCTAGCGACTGCCAATAAAATGTACATATAATTCCAATAGTAAGAGATCCCTTACACGAGACATACGTACAAACACCAGGAAGCATTAGACAAGGAGACAGCCTTAGTCTTTTCTTATATAACCTTTTAATGGACATCAAATAGAAAAGATGACCTCGAAGAATAAAGTTTATCGAATGGGACACAGAGTTAGCATGGTGTGTTATGCTGATGATGCAACCATTATCGCGGAGACAGAGAACGTTATGCACAGACAGCTTCATAAATTCTATCAAGTAAGCCGAGAATTAAACATGATTATCTCTACAGAAAAGAAAACTAAATGCTTAGCTTTCTCTAAACAGCTGGTAGTATGCAAACTAGCAGTAGAAACCAAAATTATTGAGTAAGTATCACAGTTTAGATACCTGAGAATAGTTCAGAATAGATATGTCGAACTACCACGATCCAGTGAATGATCTGAGAAGTCCAATAAACAGAGCGACGGCCATGTCACGATGTAAATAAACTAAGTTGATGTAATATAATTTTTATTTTGTGTTCAATTACGTACATTACGTAAATCTTTATTTTGTGTTCAATTACGTACATTACGTAAATCTTTATTTTGTGTTCTTTACGTAAATTAAGGAAGTTTTGAGTAAAATGTCATACCTCTAGACTATACAGGTAATAAAAAAATATTTAAACACACTTCTACACCTAATTTCACCCCCTAAAAAGGTGCATTTTTACTCGTTATTTAAACCCGTATATTAACTTTCCTGTTTACGGTATTCTCCGATGGTGGCAGCACCGGCGGAGAATGCACTAAGCATATATGACCTCGTCTCCCTTGATTGCTACAATTAAATTTACCTGATATTCGTATGATGGCTTTAAATAATACAGCGCCATCTCCTGATGAAACACAGGAGTGGCCGATCCTGAAAGCGGAGGTACAATCCAGACCCAGTCTGCTGGACACCCGTTGCGTAGACGAACTTCGTTTTCCAAATGCTTCATGAATGATTCGGAGGCAGTGTGGTGATCGACGATTGTGACGCCCATCTCTTGAAAACTGTGAAGAACAGCAATGTTACACTCTACCATGGCCTTGTCTTTCCAGAGCGTCACAGGGGTGCGCACGTCTAAGCCCATATTTAGTGCTATAGTCTAAAAACATACAATTTAAGAATTTAGTGTATATCGTAACACAATACAATATGAAGTAGTAATAATATTTTTTATTTTATTAGTTTTAGAGAGATTTTCTATCAGTCTGTCCACTTAACCAGTTAGGCACAATACAATCTGCTAAATGTGATATGAAATGAAATAAAAATAAGGTGTATGAAGTTTATTAAAACTAAAGGTCGCTTTTGGTTCGCAAATTTTCTTGCATGCTAGAAAAGTTCCATCAACTTTTTCTACAACGCCTGCAAAATTATTTTATCATCTTTTCTTGATAGTTTAGTTTTTGGATCATCTCAATAGCTTAATTTTTTTTTGGAGATGTTCGCTTTTGAAAAAAACACTAACATTCTTTCGTAATTTTTACATTAAAACCATGCCTTTGCTTGTGGTCTTAGTCAAAACAGACCTATAAAATAGCGTTTATGATTTATGTAATGTCATTCTTATTGAAATATCATATTATTGCTATTGGCTATTTAAATCCAGAAGTTGTATCCGCTATAGTTGCTTTACTCGAAGATAATAGAGATCAAAATTATGTTGCTAACATATTTAGGTATGCACGCAGTATAGTCGCTTCCTCGAGACAAGTTCATATGCTGAACGCTGAGTTCATATGAGAACGCAGAGATTATTTTATAATGCACCAACGTGCATTATAAAAAACAAAATTTTATAAACGTACATGTAAGTGAGCGGACTGCAAAAAGAAGAAGCAATCTTATGTCAAGAAGATCTGCTTTGGTACCACAACTTACTAGGTCTGTTGACAAAGACCAGAAGCAAATGCATGGCTTTAATGTAAAAATTACGAAAAAATGTGTCTTCTTCAAAAGCAAATATCTCCAACAAAAATAAAACTACTGAGATGAACCAGAAAAATAAACTATCGATTAAGGATGTACTAGTAGTAAAGTGATTTCTAAATTCTTTGGTGTCTTAACATATTCCATAGGGTTGGTTATCAAACTTTCACCAAAATATTAATATTTTGTTTTTCCTCGTATAATTGACAGACGGGAACTTTCATTTTTAATTTAGAAAGTAGTACTAAAAAGGTCAAATAACTTAGCTACATATTGCTTAAAAAATCATCAAAATTGGCCCACTAGAACAAAATATATTAAATGTTAAAATACATCAAAATTTTAAGGTGCCCGTTTTTCGTGCCAGTGAGTGTAGTAATCTTCAGACTACCAATTGCTTAACATAACTTCATTTTATATTTTTAGTTTAATATAATAATTTACTTTAATTCTTTAATTAATTGTCGTTAATAAACAAACCAACAATACAGGCCACCAAAAATAGCCACCCAGTACGAGAAACTGGCAAATGAAACGAGGCACCTGATAATGGTCTAATTTCCTTTAAGTTGGTTTGGTTTTAAAAAAATCCAATAAAAATTTCTGACTGTAAAGTGAACTGCAAGTTAATTACAGCTAGTAAAATTGCGAACTGTAAAGCGGCCTTAACACTCTTTGTATTAACAAATGAAAATATTTGTATTTAATTGAAATTCTTATATCTGTACCCCAGAAGGAAACTATGTGCAGTCAGAAAACATAGTTTTGAGGAAAAAAAAAATTTAAAGTTCTTTTTGAAATTATTTTCTAATTCCTCGTTTATTATTAAACCCATGGTTGTAATATTTGGTATATGAACGACTTATTTTGAACTTAAATGAAATGTAAAACCAATTTTTTAAATAAATTACCAATACAATTACAAATTACAAAAAACAACATTTTTTTGGACTTAACTTATATTAAGTCCCTATTTACGCCAAAATTAATAAAACTAAACTAAGTCCAAATAAAGGTATGTTACTGATATAATAACAACAATTTAGAACAGAAAATTATAAAACATGTATGTAGGTTGCAATTTGGAACCAATTTACTATCTTTATTAAGTTTAAATTAACTATCCTATAATAGCAAAACGGTCAAAATTAATTTTCGCCACTGTGCACCTGTGGACATAAGGTTTGTTCCAACCAGCATTTCGGGATCTTTTCGAAATCTTAGTCGAATCGGTTTTCTTGCACTTTGTTAGCATGCGCGGGCTTCGAATAGTTTCGTGACGGTGCAAAAAGTATCAACGTTGGAACGACTAACCCTAACCTAACCCTATTATTTTTGTTTGCAATTTGCAATAATAATTATTATTATTCTTGAACTGGAGAATCAGAATCCAGTAATTGTTGCTAAGTGTTGCTTCAACTGTATAATCACTAACTCACTTACCTATCCTCTCTTTTATGATCCTGTTATGCGTAGTTTCCTGTTATTTCATTGCAGTGGTAGAATCTTTAAACATTATTTTATAAATAAAAAATTAATTAAAATTTCCGAACGATTTACTTCACACAAACTCACAAGCAAAAGTATAACGCACATGTATTCTAATTCGTAAAAAATAACCAAAAAAGAAGTATCAGCCGGACGCCGGACCAGAATCAGCTGTTAAAAATCGATAATCCCTGCCAATATGCTTTAATGCGCAAGTCAACCCAAACAGTTCTCAAGTTGAAACATGTACCGAAATTACTGTTCTGAAATCGTAACTAAACGATCCCAAGGTAGGTTGGTACGCAAATAGGATCGTCCGATAATCGTTAAATCTCGGTTGGAACACATTTGAATTACTGCGCACGAGCGTGATCGTTCGGTGGCCGTTCTGCGACGGGTTGGAACAAACCTATAACATACTAAATTAACCAAAGATGTTTGAGCCAAACTGCCTTTATGTGACTTTACCTCATTTAGCCCAGGGCTGACATCAGACTTAATTTGATTTTAAACCGACTATTTTATTTATTGGTACAGATAGCGTAAAACGAGAAAGAGCTAAGGGTAGAACATAAAAAGCTAACACAACGCTAACAAAGCTAACAAAAGTACAGGGTATCTACAGATATGAATTTTTTGAATGTATTGTATAAGTATAATTCCTTTTTTCTGTCGATAAATTTAGGTTTAAGAAATTATTAACGATATTACTGCTAATTAAAATTTTAATGGAAAACTGAAATAATAATCTAATAGACAATATTTTCTAAAATAAATTTCAATTTACTATATTTTAGATAGTATGTTATGTACCGCTAGACAAGCATACAAACATTTGACGGAAAATTTATAAGATTATCCAAATTAATCGAACGAATCTGAATGCACATTAATATAATACTGAAGCGTTGTAGGAAAATTATTGTATTCTATTTTCTAGTTATAACATATGAACTAGTTAGAGAAGCAATATTACTGTTCACTTAAGGAGAAATACTGACAATTCAGATAATAATAAATGTTTCTTTATTAATTTTTTACTAATCAAACACCATTCTTATACTCAAATCACAATTATTAAGATTGATAAGTTAAAATTGTTGGATAGTTGAGTGCAAGAGCACAAATATGAACATCGCCATCGATATCATTTTAATTTGTATACAATTGTTCATAACTAATAAATACATTTTGAATTGAATTGTATTGAAAACAATTGCCCATCATTAATATTATGTTAAATTAATGACTCTGAGTGGTATTATCCATCAGTCATTATATTGGTGACCAGTGGCGGCTTAACCATATGGTCCAATGACCATTGGACCTTATGGTTTGACCAATGCCCCCTCCCCCCAAAAAAATCAGAAGAACATTAGAAAAAAATTATTTAAATTATATTTTTTGTAAGTCACTTTTTTTCTTCCTAAGATGTTGAAAACTATTCCCAAAAATCTTCAACTTGTCCAATTTTCGCTTGAAAACGTTTTATTTTACCCGTTTTCTCTACAGCCGGTCAAAATTTCATTTTGTCCTTCGTTCCCGCTATGTTTTGCACGTATTAAACTCCAAATACCGCGGCACGTGACGCCAACGAGGTAAGGTATACTACGTATAGAAAATATAATGGGTTAAGGTGCGATAGATAGAGTTTATATTGGCCATTGACCGCGTCATTCATAAAAGGATTTCAGTCATATCGCTGGAAAAATTTCGCCGTTTTTGCAGTTTGTGTGTTTATAAAAACTCAGATTATAAAACAACCTAGGGTTTTGTATCGTTTATCGGCGTAGAATGTTTGGTTTAGTCGTTTAGTTAATATAAAGCAATATTTAAATTTTTAATATCGAAAGAAATCCCGTCTCCCGCTTTGTCGTAGCCGAGTGTTTGAGGTGTAGCGCGAAATTTGTGTAGGTAATAATTAATAATTTTCTGGTTATGGATAAATGATGAACTGTTGTTGATTGATTCTGGAATAGATATTTTAAAATAGACAATATGGTGTTTACTTCGTGAAAGCGTGCGGTTAAAAGAAAACAATTGCTTAAATTTTGAAGAACGTTTAGAGAGAGAATACAGCATTGACTTAAAATATAAAAAAATGTGAAATAAAACTTTTAGAATTGTGTATGTTTATACAGGGTGCTACAAATTCGAGGTACGAGCATTGGTATCTCGGTAACCGTAATAGATACGAACATGGTTAAATTGGGGCAAAGTTGCGTATTGGGATATTCACCAAGATGCCATCAAAAAAGTTTCAAAAATTTCAAGGATTGCTGAGTTTTTTGGAAAAACTGATTTTTTTGAAAATCAATTTTATTTTTCCTGTCGTTACTTTTAGAAAATCAAAAACTAATTACACATTCTCTTAGCCACTTTATTAGGGCTATCTGATAGTATTTTTAGATTTTCAAATTAGCCGAAAAATTTGTGAGATACAGAAACCAACTTAATTTTTTAAATACGGACCTGCATTTTTATTTCAGATTTTGAAAGAACTCGGTCTCCTGAATACAATGATATGCCACACTTTATACTTCTTTTGCTTTGGGTACCTTAACAGCAACAAAACTATTTAATTATTATTTAAAATAATTACATCAAGTCCGAATCTGGTTTCTTATATTATTAAATTTGATTATATTCATCCCAATAATATTGATCAGCGCTAATTAACATTGA